GGGGGTCTCGGTGATACCAGGCTGACTGACAGCTTACAGCAGTGCTTTGTATATGAGTGTTTGTGTGCATATAGCGATATAATACATCAGCATCCAGCTGCCTCCAGGGGTGGATGCTCTGCGTGAACGTACATGAAGGAGACGCTCATTCCTAATGACAGCAGAAGGTCACTGTTATCACTCTCATACTCTTGAGCGTGTACCAGTAGTCCTCCTCGCTCCTTCTCCGCAAATAAACCAGTTTGCTTCCTGATACGCGGTGATTAAATGACACATGAGCTGTCACTTTTATCTGTCTTTTCCAGTGCCAGGAATATCTCAATCATAATGAGAGTTTGTGCACATGGACAAACAGGGTGGAGTATTTCATATGTCAAGTTTTCCATATCTCGGGTTTAGTGACAAAGTTGTTAAGGTTGGTGTGCATCTGTCGGGTTTTTGAACAATTCGGATTGTATTATCACTTCACTCTTTTCTCGATTGGTTACATTTTTATTTTCCTGAAGTGTTTTCACATGAGATCATGGGAAGCGATGAATTTTTTATAATCTGCATCTGCTCAGCTGACAGACTGCTTCAAAATGTGGGAGATGCTCTGTGAAAAGAAAAAAAACAAAACAACTCTTTTTACATAGACATTAAGAAAAAAAAGGAACCATTTAACATTGTCACATTGTAGTTTTACTTTATTATTTAGTATTTTTATTATTTTAACACCAATTATTGATCAGTTGTGATGTTGGTTCTTTGATGTATCTGGCTGAAGGAGACCGACTGTCCTTTCACATCCCAGTGGATGCATTTTAGATATTTGCACTAAAATTTTAGGAAGAACTTAAAGATGATTCAACTAATTTTGAAAAAAAACACAAAAAAAAACCTTTGCATCGACAAAAAACAATTGATTTTCATTTTACCATAACTTTCTTTTTATGCACTCTTCTGTTATCAAAAGAGGTCATAGTTTAGCCATTTGGCTCACTTTTGAGGTTTTCTGATTCAAGTCATGCTTTACCGTATTTACACTTAAGTGTATGATAGAAGCTGCTTTAATAGCATCAATAAAAGCTTAATTTGTTTTGAATCCCACTGCATGTCATCTTGCCAAGAAAAATAAAGAGATCTAATGTTACAGGCAATCCCCTTCAATGGATAAAGCATTGACCAGGTAACTTGATGTGCATCTATGACAATGGCCAGGAGGCCACAGCACAGGGATTACAACAATCTGGAAAGGATTGATATTAAGCATAGATGTAAACATAAACCTTCATAAAGGTGTAGAGCCACTGTGTTTGTGGCTGCAATGGAAGATATGAGGATTCACAGTAATCCGTGACCCTATCACCAGAAGAGAAGGGGAGACATCTGGATGAAGAGGGGTGAAGCGATGAGAAGAAGGAGAAAGATAAACGTGAAGGAAGGTTCTCTGAAATCTGAACCGTTTGCCTTGAAGCCTGTTTGAGATTTTGAGTGTGTGTGTGTGTGTGTTCAGAAGGTGGGAATACCCCACCACCACTAACACCACCACGGTTCAGAGTGTTACCCTGACAACAGGGTTAGAGGCTGTCCCCCCGGCCAGAGAAGAAAGACCCAGCCTTCTGACGCCGGCTAGAGAAGAAAGACCCAACATTCTGACGCGAGCTTAAAACTGAGTGCAGCCGTCTGTTTGGAGTGCATTCTTCTCCTTTGTTTGGTGCTGTTCCTGTTGGAATGCGTTCCTTCTTTTTTTACTTTCCATACTCGCTTGTAAATGCCAGATGCTTTCCTTCTTTACTGCAGCTTTTTAGATTTGTCATCAAACATTTTCCATTTCATTTATTACTCGCGCCTTCACACCCAAGATTTGCCCGGCTTTCGTTATTCTCTTGCCATTTTGCTCTTGCACTGAGAATTTGAAATAAACTACTTTATTTTACAAATTGCTGTACTGTTTCGCAGGGTACGTATGCAGGGCTTATTTTTCAAATTAATGTCACCAAACCGAGCAAACTTTTGCAGCATAAACCATTTCTGTCATTATATTGTTGAACTATTTCTTTGTCGTGCTTCTCTGTCCAATAGTTTCATTCGTTTCCACACAGTAGACACTTACACAAAAATGCTTTAGGTGACTTAAGGTAATAATAATTCCTACTTATATCCTTTGCCTTTAAACAGCTCCTCACTGCAGTATGGATACTTTCTTTTGTTCCTTAATGTTCTATACTTTTCTAACTTAAAAAAAACCTACCTAACACATCTGCATAATTTCTTACATTATGTAGGTTTGTCAAGACATAATTAACATGTCTCAATGGCGGGCTGACTGACATAATCAAAGACATTAAATAACAGATATCTGATGCATATACTTTGAGCTGATAGGTAAAATCAGGTCATTTTTTTGTTGCAAAAACAGAAAAAAACTAAAACTACATCTGCAACAACCTAAAAGAATATTTGAAAATAAACGTTTTTTAAATTATTTTTGATAGTACAGAAATGGTTTTCTTCTATAACACAGAGCCAACCTTTGTTCCCTGTTCTCTCAGGATCACATGCTGCTGTTCTTACTTAGGAGGCTAGAGTTATTCAGTTTTTTTTTTGGCTTTCAAATAGTTTCTATATTTTGTACGTATTATTGATATTTTCATTGCTCCACAAGCAGAAATGCGTTTTGGCTGACCTAAATGGCTGATTGACAGAGGCGATGTTCTCAAAGACCCTGGAACTAACCTTTAAAAGTGCTTTGATCGGGTTTGATCCTGTTATTTCAAACCGGATTTGGACTTTCCTAATTATAATATTTCATTTTGTGCCGGCAGAGAGCATGCAAACCGGACGGAGCTCGTAATCAGTTCAGAGCGAGACACACAAAGCCAATTCAAAGAACCACAGTAAGACACACATACAACATACCAAGAAGGGTGTGCAATGTATGCATAAATATGTGCATATATTTTGAATTTCTCCCCATTATCGTCCCTTTCATTTATTTTCTTACTTCATGATTTTGAGTGATAGTGATGTCAATTTTCACTTGGAGGGAGTGTAAAAGCCATGAGACGAAACCGCGTAATTGGCATGCAGTGAGAACAGCAGTTGAAAGTGAACGTTGGTGTAAATTAGGTGATGGGTCACACTATGTTATCTTTAACTCATTTTCACACGTGTGCTGACCAGCTAAGCCTCTTGTCATAGTTTCTGACTCTCTGCGTTGTCGCTTGTTGTTACCTGTTGTTTTCTCTCATGTGCCCTAAAAATACCAGAGTTGTCTTTGTAGATCTCACAGATATGCACATACACATAGGGATGCATCAAAAGATGCACACCAAAACACATTGTCATTGTGCACGCTCACATACACCAATCCCTTTCACTCCATTCACCCTCCCTAGGGAAAAAAAAAAAAAAAAGTCCTGCATCAGCTGCTAAATTGCCTAAACTCCCTCTCATCCGCTAATGGGCTACCTGTCTTCCTCCATGTCTGCCTCTCTGTCTACATTAATGAGTTTCTGTTGTCTGTCTGTCTGCCTCTATGTCCTCCTGAATGTTTGATGTCTTGTCTTTATGTTGACTTTACTCATGTCTCTGCAGAGGAGAGTTCCTGCTGTGCTCATGTGCCCGTTTTCCTCTCGCCTGTTTTCATGTCTGCTCCTAATTTAACCGTTTTCTGGGTCTCACCATGATGCTTTTAACTGCCCTTTAGGGATACTGTGATACTCAGTCTTTACTCGAAACACTTACATATTCTCTTAATGAATTGTGCTCATTTCCTTGTTTGGTGCAACTCGTCAACAAGAAAAGGCCAGTGAATGAGTGAACTCTTGCATGCAATGAATGAAAACTTTAATGTTTATATTTGAAAGTGACATAATATTCAAACTTTGAAGCTTTTCTGGGCATGTTCAAAATGTACATACCAGTCTTAAGAGTGTACATAAAAGCCTGTGGTGTTCCTTGAGCTTTATATATATATGTATTGTGGAGACAAGTAATAACAGTACTTGCATGTCAGATATGCCTAATTTAAGTGTAATATTTTCTAAAAACTTTTTTTTTTACAGATTGTCCCCGATTAAATCAAATTACCTTCTGAGTCATGTTTAAGAAATATTTTGTTACAGTAAATTAAATTATAGAAAATTACTTTAGCTGTTGCTATGGTGTGAAATGTCTCTTGAATGGTTCTTCCTTTTTGTTCATAATTTTGTCAAATCAGAAATGATCAAAATTTTCCATCCCACTGTGTTTTCACAGCTTTTAACTGTAATGACCAGTTGATCTTTTCCATCATTTGGTAAAGTCAAAAAAGCTTTTGCCACACACTGAAAAACAAATCTTTGGACAAGGTAAAAACAATCGAATAAATGTGGCAGAGGAAGATCTACTCTTAAAAGTAAAAAGGGAAGTAGATACTCCCTGAGAATTGAGACTAAGTAGTCAGGATAGTAAAGGGTATCCTCTCCATCTTTGTAACTGCAATAAAAACATCACATTAGTCATTGTCACTGACTCCCCTTCTACTTATTCCCATTGTTCCACTTTTGCCATGGGGTAATATATCCTTCTGAAAGAGATGTTTTACTCGCTTTCACAGCATTTAAGAACTGTCCTTGCTCATCATCTTCTTCTGCTTCTCCCTACAACTTTAGATCCATTTTGTCTCAAAGTAGCTGATATGGGCATGATAACACACCTAAATTGAATGCAGTCTAATTGCAAATTGGAAAACAGATTAAATTGTTTTACTGTTCTTTCTAGTATCCAGACGAGCTATTAGCAATACTAACTTGCAGATTTCTTTTGATATTAAAGTTTAGCTCAAAATTATTCACCTTTAGCAGATCAAGATTAAAAATCATTCTCACTGAGCTAAATGAATACATTTGCAGGTAAATAACGTATTTTTCGGACTATAACCCACTATTTTTACTCCATGCTTTGAACCACGCGGCTTATAGCTGTCATAACGGGTGATAGTGAACGTACCCACATTCAAGAACACAATCAGGAGAGTAAATCACAATAATAAGGTTTATTAAATAAAGAGTGGAGAGGGAGTTCTGGAAACAGGGTTGGGACTGCCGGGTCGTCAACTGGAAATAGGAGGATTGATGTAAATACAGTCGATAACTGAATAATTAGCGGAGCTAGTCGGAGAGTCTTACTTGGGAAAAGAGTAGCAAGTGAGCTGGGTTTAGGATGTTGCCTGGTCTTGCTGGAGGTCGGAGATCCAGAGCTCGCTAATCCGGCGAGCGATGCACGTGGGAGGGCGGACAGGTAAGAAAGGCTGTAGCGGACGGCTGGCAAACTGAGAACTCGGATTTATCCAGGGACAAGGATCTGGCTTTCAGCAGGTAAGACCTGAGGCGTCAGAGAGAGGAAAGGTTCCTCGGGAGGCTGGTCGAATCGGAGACCGTTCTGAGGTTCGGCGTCCTACAGGTACGACCTGACGAGGGAAAAACACGACGAAGGTTACTTCAGACTTTAACTCAGAGGGCCTAGCTCAGAGATAGTTACCATTCAAGGTTAACACTCAGGCACCGGAGTGTTTGCCAGCCGCCGTCTAAATACTCCACTTCAGCCCTCTTCTGATTAGCCACAGGTACAGCAACGGGGTCTGCCCCCGCACCTTCCAGGGGCTCAACCCTGCAGCTTTTAAGTTGAAGGCTATCGATCTGGCAGTACAGATCGATAGCCACTGTACGTAAACTCGGCATGAACGAATCCAAGGTACGCAGAGCTGCGTCCTTAATAGCAGATTTATCAATGTTGGAAAGCCGAGAGTGGCGGAGATACCAGCGGATTATGACCCGGTGCAGCTTATATGTATGTTTCCTTTTTTTTGTTTGTTTTTTAACTTTGTGGGTGCGGCTTATAGTGAGGTGCGCTGTATAGTCCATAAAATGCCAGACTATAGATATGTAGTCCTGTGTATGTATTTAAACTCTTAAAGATCAAACTCACAAACTGAAAATGTAACTTTGAAGATTTAAATGTACAGATGTAGAAAAAAAAGTTACTTTGTATATCATGACATAGTAGCATGAGCCAACTTTTGAATCTGGACCCTTTTCAAAGGTCAATAACTTTTAAGCCTGCTTGACCCAAAACCTTGTTCTGTAAAGTCAAAGGTTGTGAAGAAAAGCACTTGAGCATTTCAGATACTTGGGTACCAGCCATGCCGTTGCAGAAACAACACCTCATAGACAGTATTTTTTTCTAAAGGATTTAGTGTGGGTTTTGTTGCCTTCACATATTAGAATACAGATGCCTGTTGTGTCACCTCTTATTGTCTATTGTTTGTTGGTCTCCATCAGTGTTTCCCCTTTAATGTCAGCCTATTTCATGAAACCTGTCATAAATAGAGCCATGTTGACAGTTCAATTTACCTCATAACCCTTCATATAGATATATATGTGCGTGCACACACACACACACACTCACACACACATTGACTTCACTGTTGAGCATCAGTTCCATTCCAGGTACCTCTTGGGTTTCCACAGAGACGGGGGAGGGAAAGCAATAACGGCACACTTGACCCATCTGTTTTTTATTGGCCTGTTCTCACCTTCACACAGACCCACTCACACACACCTTGAATCTAATCTGGGAGACCTCACCTCCGTGGTGATATTCCTCCATCCTCCCCAGAGGATTATAGGAGAGAAGAGGGGCGAGGAGGAGAGGAGGAAGTTAATAATTTTGCCTCTCAGCAACCTGAAGGTGATAAGATTGTGTGTTTGAGTCTCGTATCACATGCGGACACTTGTGCAGCAGTGCAAAAAAACACGCTGTACATAAAGGGGTCATTACAGCTTCCCATCCTTACTCGTAATGTTTGTGTTGTCCCTGAAACGTCAGACAACAATCTTGCTAGAACTTTTTCAGGATTTGGTAGAGGAGCTGTTTGTGTGAACCGTGTGTATTTGATAGTGTATCTCTGAACAACACCAGTTCTGGGGAAGGGGGGGGGGAGAGCAACATATCTGGGGCAAATATTAGGGAAAAAAAAGAAAAGATTAGCCCTTGCGACAAGGTTGTTTACTGTTTATTCTGGTCGCCAGTCGCATTCCTCCTCATACTGGCAGTCGTGAAGATTTTGTTTTCACTTTTTATTCCTTTGTGGATTTTTTATCCTGGTTCAGATTTCTGTCAAAAGTTTGTGTGTGTGCACGCAGATATTTGTGTGTGCCTGCCTTGTGCATTAATTATGTTAGGCTGCTCGTCTGAACTCAATCTTTCCACAGCCATCAGTCGTTACAGTGGCTTCGGGGTCCCATTTAGGGAGTTCCCATTTTTCTCCATGCAAATAGCACTAGAGCAGATTAGGTGAACTTGAAGGAATTAAAAGGGATTTATTGCAAGTTGAAGGCAAGGTAATGAATTATGAATAACATGGATATAAAATGTAAATCTAACCTAAGTAAACTGTTTTCAGTTATTCTGAAAAATTATTTTGTAAATAAGCTGCATTCAGACATTTCCTTTCTGATTGATTAGCAAAGCATTAACATACAAAGCCTCTGTTCTGCCCATAGAAATCCCCTTCTGCCATGAACACACTCTAGTTGGCTGTGTGTATAATTGAGGCTCTTCCTAAGAACACTTTGACATGTAGACTGGAGAAGCTGCTGATCAAACCGCCGACCCTTCAATTAGTGGATGACCTGCTCTACCTCCTGAGCCTTTAAGCGCCTTGGTCGCAATAAAAAATAAAAATAAAAAAAAACATTGTCTAATGAGCTGAATGTTTGCAGTTTTTACTGATTCACACTCACACAGCTTAGGGGCCCCTTGTGTTGTGTGTTTGCAGCAGTTTTTCTTTCCTTTTGGTGATCATTTATGAACCATATTAAGAGATGCAACAGTCAGAATTTTCTGGCCAATTTCTGAGGTCTGGCTTTAGTAAAGCTTTGACCCGCAGGCGTCAGCAAATTATGATTTCTCTCAAAGAACTGATATTACAAAAACAGCATTCAAAATATTTTCAGTCCAGCTTTCTTACTGTGAGCAGTAGGTGTTTATATGACCACATCACTGAGATGTGATGTCACTGAGAGCATTTCCCGTAAAGGAGGGTTTTATTAATGTCCTAAATCTGTGTTGCAAACTGTTTATAGCATCTTATATAATAGTAAGCACAGTTTGCAGTGCTGAAGTGGCCACGTATTACTTTAACTATGAAATTTGCAAAAAATAATGCCAATGTTAGAACATTGAAGGCTCCAGTGGATAAAACAGATCAACATTGCTGTATTCTTTTCGGTTTATTGTTTCTGTTCAATGGCCTGCTCTTTCTCTTGCAGCCTGACTGGCAGACATGTCTGACATGTCACAGAGATTAACGTCTTGCATCTCTGTGCTTCCTCAGGCCTCATTTTAAACACATCCTTCATACTGATAACTTTTTTTTTTTTTTTACTCTCTGTGTTGAAGACAGTTTTCGTGAGAGCAGCTTGGTAGTGGTTTACATGTGGACCATTCACTGACTGAGAAAGGCAGTGTTGTTGAGTTTCTGAATCGAGCTACAGATCATCCAATTACAGTCAAGAGCCAGTTTCTCAGTGCATCTTAAACTGGAATAAAATTTTAAGTATTTGTATTGTGCTTTTATGACTGGGCTGGTAATTTCGCCAAGCCATTCTCAGTGGCCAAGACTTAACGAGTGACATTCTGTCCCTGCAGTGTGTATAAACAACAAACAATTAACTTGTTCCTCAATGGATTTTCTCTTAGCTTATTGTTTGTGGTATTTTAGTGTTTTTGTGTGTATTTGGAGAAGTGGGTATGTGCGTCATTTTGCGCATCGTGAAGCTTCCCTACGGCAGCACTGCCGCAGAAGGCAGCACAGGTGTTTGTTTTGTAATTACTTGTATTGCACAGACCCATCACTGTTGTTATAACTGTTTGATGGGAATCTTATTTTTTGTTTAATTTTTTAAAAATTCAGTTGTTTTGCAATAGTTATTATTGTTGATACATTTTATCGCCTTTTTTTGTTTACATCCATATAAGTATTGTCTGACCAGTTACATTTGGACTGATGCCTTTTTTTTATCTCTCATTTGTCACAGTTCTCAAAGGAGAAATACTTGCTGGAGTCTCCGCCAGAGAAACTTCGTAAAGAACTGGAAGAGGAGTTGAAGCTGAGCCCTGCTGACATCCGGAGCCATGGCTGGTACCATGGACACATCCCCAGAGAGGTATTAGTGCTGCCGGGTTTCTTTACTTGTTGGTCAGACTACACAAGGTAAAGACAGCATAACAGCAATATAAAAATTTTCAAGCACAATAACTTCCATTACCAACGAATGCTTCATAAAATTCCCGGGTGGGTTTAGTTAGAAGCTTAAAACCTTAAGTTTTTGGTTTGCTTTTGTTTATTCAGTTTTTTCAACACTCCTAAAGAATGTAGCTCAGTCATAAATAATTCATCATATATGCTTTTTTAAATATCAGTTTTCCTCATGTGATCTTTAAAAAAAAAAGAAGAATGAATTAAGTAATTTGGTGGTAACTATGAGCATTACCGTCTCAAGTAAAGCTGACTGTGTTTTTTTTGTGTGCAATAAATGGGGAGATATGGCTAATTTCAAAATGTGTTTAGTTTGGAGAAAGAATGCTTTTTAGTGTTAAATTGTTGTAAAGATACAAATACCCTTTTCACCTAAAACAGTAAGTTTTCTTTATGCTAAAATACATAACTGCAAACATATTTGAGACCTTTAGGTGGATGTTCAATGCACAAAAACCAAAAATATTAAACTATCATTAATGTGGTGGACAACTCTTCTTTGTCAACTGTCTAATTGAAATCTGGAATTTACCTGGTTGGATTTATTATGAGTGGGACTGAGTATTATTTATGCTGCTACAGAAGCACTTAAGACTTCTATGTCCTTCATCCTCCAGATTTAGAAAAAAACTTCCAAAGCTTCAGAGTTTAGGGATTTAGCATCCCTGTTATTTTTCTACTTTTCCCAGTTGTCTTTTTTTGTGACTGTGTGGGACCTTTTTCTCTGAGGTTTTATGATTATGTATGCATGAAAATTTCTTGCCAGCACAAGGTCACTGTGGAGGGACCTGCTAGACATCACAGACAGCAAGTCAGAATTTAGATGCAAATTGGTGGCAAAAAAGCACAAATGAAAATGAATGAATGATTTAAAGACTTTATGTAGTTAATGAACGAGTGTTGAAGCTGAATTTTACAGTTCAAGGACCGTGTGTTCTTAACAATATGTCTGTATCCAGAGCTTTACACAAAGCGCACAGATAAATCGGAGAGTGTATCGGAAGATGTAGAAGGTCAAAATAAAAAAAAATAAAAAAAAGGTTGTTTACAGATCTGTTAACACCGTCTGAGTTCAGAAGCTGAAAACATGTGAAACCATGTGTGAAATTTGGAGGAGAAAAGAAAAAATGTGTTGGTGTGGCTGTAAACAACAAGCATCTAGCAAAACAATTTCGGAAATATTTTGGAGGTCAAAGAGTTTGGAAATTACTGTTTTTCAGATTTCGGTTTCCTTTTTTTACATGTTGTATTTTTTTGGGAAAAAACCGCCAAGAATATAAAATAAAAGTTGAAAGTGCATATTATCATCTACATCACAGCCATGGCTCAAAACGATTTTGTTTCCTTAGAAATAGGAGGAACAGTTTTGTGATTTCGTTTTAAACACCTTGCTGTTGCTGAAAATATCTTACTACACCTTCTTCAGTCAATGATTCATTCACACAAAGAAATTTGTTTTTAGTGCAATAAGATGCATTCACTGCAAGACAAAAACAAGACGCTCGAGGCTCTGACTTTCAGTCACTTCTCAAGATGAAACTTGTATGATACTGGTATTTTCTAATTTCGTTTTGAAGAAATTGAAGTACAATTTTCTAGTTGTCAAGCAAAACAAAAACTATAGATTCTTAGCAGAAACTTATAGGAAAATAAGTAGACACCAACTGATTTTAGTAACGTTATCAAAGGATTTCCCAGCTGGGTGTAGGTCATGTTTTAAGAGTTTTAAAAGTCAACATGTCGTGGGAATTTTAAGGCTTATTTTTGTTTCCTGTTAAAAAAAAAAAAGTTATCTTAATTACAACAGTTTTGAATGTTGGTCTGTTTTCAAGACAACAAATGCAAGAATAGTAGTTAGACACAAATGAAAAAGGGTGTAACTCTACCTCCAGATTAATTCACCCTGGTGGTTACACACGCATAAATCCGAAACCAAAGAAAAAAGCAACAGTTTTGTATAAGAATAGAAACTCTTTTTACATGGAACAAATGTTTCACAGAACACACTCGTGCCTGTAATCGCATGGTATTAGCAGAGTGATTACTCCGGCATCATCTCTGGCTTTGAAAGGCGCAGTTTAGGCGGTTTACTCACAGAACGACACTGATTAATGAAGCCCATCATCTGTCGCAGCTCGGCAGCGAGTGCTTTAGCGTTCGGAAGGAGGGAGACTCTGCCAAACAGACAGCTGCGTATGTTGCTGATGTACGCAGTTGAGCTTCACAGCTGGGGACAAACACACACAAACACACAGTTTTGGGAGCACATGTGGAGGGTACGTCTTCATCTTCTTCGTCTCCCTGGCTCTTGATCAACCTGCGTCTCTTTCGAACACAAAACACCGACTTGTGCCATCTGCATGTTTTTTGCTCCTTTGATTTACATGAAATATTCATATATTCAGGGATTTTCCCCCAGTTTAAACTTTGGGGGAAACCCCAGGCCAGGTTACCAAGATAGCACTCAGTGAGCTTATTTTAATCAGTTTTAATCCCGTCCATCCCTCCTGATTTTGCTCTTCATCCTCTAGTTTTAAAGTTAAAATATCTCACTTTTAAGGAAGTTATATAGCTTTCCCTTCATATTTTTTTTTTAAATTTCTAATAACACAATCCTACTCCTTTTAACAGAATAACATTTGGCACTGGGGGAGATAAAAGCTTTGCATGAATTTGAGGCCTTTTGATCTGTGCATTTGCTGCCTCCTGCTGGCCTGTGACACTGTTTTCCTTTTGGCTTTGTTGCTCTGCATATTTCATGGCTTGTTTAAAGAATTTAACGCTTCTCACCCTCTGCTTTCACAAACAGCCTTCTTACAGGTTGCTTTAAAAGACACACTCCTCAGGCTGATTTTAGCGCCTCTTTTTCCACACATCTAATTAACGGATTTTTGGTATTTCTTTTTCCCCACAAGTGCAGTTTTAGTTTTAGTTGGCAGTGATACGTGCAGCCCGATGCTGTTTCGTTGATCGTGAATGGAACATTAGTTTTCTAGATTGGCTCTTCATTGGTGTTGTAGAGTATTAAGTGGATCGTAAGAACTGAATCGGTGTGAAAAATCTGTTTAACACTAGGACAAATGTTTGATCAGCAGCACTAAGTCCTGAGGAACTGTTATAAATAACCACACATTTCCTAAGTCCCTTATTCATCTTTCAAATTGTGACAAACAAATTATTCATACACATGCCACAACTAATGTAGTTTGCTGCTCTTTTTCTGTTTGCATTGTAGTTTTTTGTTTTTTTGTTTGTTTTTTTTTTAACTTAACTGGGCTTTTTCTCTTCCTTTCAGGTCTCTGAGTCTCTGGTTTTGCGAAACGGTGATTTCCTTGTGCGAGACTCCCTGACCAATGTCGGCGATTACGTTCTGACCTGTCGATGGGACAATGAGGTGCTCCACTTCAAGATCAGCAAAGTTCTGGTGAAATCAAATGAGACTAAGGTACCTCAACTTCTGCTAGGGCAGGGATCTTTAAGCAGGAAAATATGAAGCAGTCGATGTGAAAATATGAAATACTTTTAACTTTCATAATTTTATTACATTTTAAAAAGCGAAGTTTAGTGGGGAAAAATGTTTAAAGAGACAATGAGGATGTAAAAATCTGATCAGGTGCATATTGCAACCAGTTGTTTGCAACCAGTTGTTTCCATTGATGATGCATTTGTTCTCATCTGTTGGGAGTTCGCCCAGTGAGTCACTGTGTTCAACAACAGTGATATTATGAGACTATTTCATTAGCAACAGGCCGCCACGTGCTCGGTCTGTTCCAAGTTATCAAACCTCACCTTGTTTAGCTGCTTATTTTACCGAGGACACAAGAGTTCTGCATTTTAAGCTGAATTGGAAAGTTTGTCTTTGCCAAGACAATAAATGCTTCTCTTTTCATTTGGTATTTTTGTGTTTGTTGTCTCGTTGTCTCTGCTAACATGCTGCAGGTGTACAAAGCTGACCAGCTGCGATCCTGCTTACTCTTTCTTTTGTGTGTTTTTACCAGCTGTGAGATCATTTCCGTGATATTATTGGAGGATCAAGACGATCCGCCGATGTTTTACTCACTTAATAAATAATAGAATGGAACGAATGTTCTAAGCAAGTGTTCAAAACAAAACCTTCCCTCCTTGTCTTCCTCAGGTGCAGTACGTGTTGGAGTCAGACAGCTTCGACTCTGTTCAGGAGCTCGTGCGCTTTTACGTGGGCCAACGCAAAGCCGTCTCGCAGTCCAGCGGCGCCCACATCTACTGTCCCGTCAGCAGGACTCTACCTCTGCGCTACCTGGAGGCGACCTTCGCCCTGTCCAACAGCAAGCACAGCTCCGCCTACTCGCCGTCCAGCCAGAGGGGGGCGTACATCAAGCGACGGAGCGTCACCATGACGGACGGGCTGACGACAGAAAAGATGATGCCTCACAGGTGAGGAGGGCGCGGACGCTGATGTTCCCTGACGGCTCTTTCTCTCTTGTAGCTTTGTGAGAAATGTTATTGATTTTTTTTGTGTCGCATACATAATCAGTGATTCAGACAGCCCCAGTCCAGTTGAGACACCGTTGGCCCCGCCCGAGCAAGAGCCGGAGCCTGTGTCCGAATGCAGGTTGTGTTTATGTGTGTGACAACAATGGTGTTGCTCTGGTTCCCTCCACACTCCTAGAGCCCCTTCACTTCACAGACACCTGTAGTACTTCCCTTTGTGATGAGAACTGTTCACTTCTGCACCCAGTGAGGCAAGTTTTAAACGGCATGTAGCTGTTTAAAACTTGATGAATCTACCAATGAGGAGCAGACAAGATTCTGGGCACCAAGTTGCCTTTTTCCAACCATAAACTTCAATATAATTTATTTAGAATGTATTTAACACCCAATTATGAAATGGAGTAAAAACAAGACATGGTTCAAACTTTATTACTAACTTGTGTGAAAAGTGTAGTGTGCTTTTGTTTTAAACCTCTATGAGCCAATACTCTGAAACCACCTTCCCAAATGTCTGCACGCTTTGTATGATCTAGAAACTAAAATCTTTGCCCAATCTTCTTTGCAAAAGAACTCTGACTCAGTTAGATTGGATGGAGAGCTTGTGTTTACCATCATTTGGTCCACACAAATGGACTAAATGAATTTTGGACTTTGACTGGGCCGGTCCAACACACGAGTCTGCTTTGGTTCTCCCAAGTCTCAAATGTTAATCCTAGATAGGAATTTATCTTCAAACGTCTTACGACTAATCCTGATTGGTAGTAAGTAGTAGTAGTAGTAGTAATAGTAGTAGTAGTAGTAGTAGTAGTAGTAACGCATCACCACAGCATGATGCAGCAACTGTTTTGCTGTAGAGGTGTTAATGCTTAGGATGAAGTCCAGTTTTAGTGATCTCAGGCGTGCGAGCCAAACGGTTTGACCTTGATGTCATCTGACTGAAATGTCGTCTTCTGCATGTTTGCAGTGTCCCACACATCGCCTGAGGGAAACTACAAGCAGGAGTAATTAGGGGTTTATTCTTGCTGGTCTTCCATGAACTTTAGATTTGTGGAGATTATTAGTGCTAATTATCGTTTTGTCAGATGTTCTTATCTAAGCTGTGTAACTCTGCAGCTCCTCCAGAGTTAAAATTGGCCTCTTGGCTGCGTCTCTCCATGGTGGATGGCCTTTAGGAGATTTTGGGCCCTTCAGAAGACATTTGTTTGCACTTGATTTTATTTTGGTCTGTCAGAGTAAAAGAGGTTGAAAATAAATGCAAACCAGACTTTTTCAATTTTTTATAAAAAAAAATAAAAATAAAAACTTTATTGCTTGTAAGGCTAGTGAATCTCAGGTATTGATTATTTTCTCCTATTTCCTAAATCAAACTCATGTCTGCTTCTGCCTTGTTGTAGTTCATAAATAACAGAAATGCAGTTTTATTGCGACCGTCTCACAAACTAAAACATTCCTTCTTCCCTCACCATGTAAGAAAGAACATTTACATCCGTACCAAGATGGCTTCTGTCATATAACGCGAGCTTTAAAATGCCGTTTGCAGCCCATCAACTATTCACCACCATAAAGACGCAATGCGCAATTGTGCGATGAGCATGGACCAGATTCAGGAGTACCGCTGCCCCTTGTCGCCTGTCGGGGAAACCCCGCTGTCTCCTGCGTATAGTGCTGGTAAGTGACAGACTCCGACACATAAATAATACATTGCCATCACACAGACGCCTTCTGCAGAGAGTTGAAAGCTCGTCTCTCTTTTTATCCAGTCACCAGGCAGAGAGCCCACTCCGGCGGACGGGCCCTGGCCGTCGTCCCTCCCTCCCCCGTGATGCGCCGTTCCAGCGACCCTCAGCTCAGCCCCTTGGACGGCAGCACTCCCGCACAATATCCCACGCAAACGTCTCACCCGGTACACTCCTCGCCTGCCCATCATTCCGCCTACCAATCGCAGTCGTCGGAGACGGCTGGAAGTTACTGTGACCTCAGACCCTGCCCCTGCGGGCCGCCCAAGCCCCCAACTAAGAGCTACGTTGAGCGACTGCGAGTTGAAGAACTGAGGAAAGGCGAAGGCAGAGAAGGAGACGGGACATCTGTTGCCCCGCTGGTGGAGTCGACCTCCTTATTCAGGCCATCCAGGTACATCCAGGAGGAGGTTTTGGGCTAACAGGCAACATCTATGACTTTTGTCTTTCTTAGTTTAGAGCAGTGGTTCCCAAACTTTTTCTTCTGCGCCCCCCCAGTGGTTTCCAAACATTTTCTGCGCCCCCCCTATGGATTACAAATGGCTGTCTGGTTGAAACGACGCGTGTGACGGGAGGGGGGGCATCGACTTTTTTGGGGGCAAAATGAATGTACGTAGCTGAAAATAGACACCAACATCGGTATCCTACAAGGTACTTGTTAAGCTGAAGGTTCTGTATTGATATTAGCTAGTCATCTTTTAGCTTACATTAGCTAGACATCTTTTAGCTGACATTACCTGCATCCAGCAGCTTTACTCAACTCAGTCTGTTAGTTTGGAGGGAAAAACTGTGAAAAGCTCTTTGCGTTTTGCTGGTTTGCTGCCGTGATTCTAACACACCTGTAGCTCCGCCCAGCAGCAGCAGGTCTCCTTCACAGGTGGAAACCCAGCGCGAGCGTCGTAGCGCTCATGTTGCGTTTAAAGGCGGCTCCGAAAAATAGTTACAACATGTTAACAACGGATTAAACAGTTTTAACTGCTGATAAAAGTGACAGAGGACACAAATATGGGAAGTATGGAAGCCTCTACAATATCAAATTGACATAGGAATAACAGAGAGTTGGCCATTCTAAGGTAAAAACCCAGCACATACAGTGTTCATGTTTTGTTTTTTTCATCCAGACGGCTTCCCGCGCCCCCCCTGCAATGACACGGCGCCCCCCCAGGGGGCGCGCCCCACAGTTTGGGAACCTCTGGTTTAGAGAAACAATTAAAAAGACTCAGTATTAACTCATAGTTTAATGTGTCAGTGCATACCGTACGGACAAAAGCTAGTCTCCATAAAAAAATACTCTGGATTTATCTTGCAGTTTTTTCAATATGTGGGACAGATTAACTCTGTAAAGATCTGGATGCATTCAAAGCCGGACAGCTGTCTGGGTCGCAAAATTGTGCAACCTACTTTTCTCCACATTTTTGTAGCGGCATTCACTGCTCTTCGACTTCTGTCACGGTCCATTATTTCCTAAATCTCTGAAACTCTCCCTCTGCAGGTATGAGTCTAGTCTGCTTCCTGCTGAAAATAAGCCTCTGGAGATGTCAGTCCTGAAGAGAGTCAAAGAGCTGCTGGGTGAAGTCGATGCCAGTACCGCAGCTAAACACATCACACTTGTCGACTGCAAGGTATGCATACAAGTACAAGCAGTTTGCACGCACACACACACACACACACACACACACACACACACACAGACGCACAAACAAAAATACTGACACAAGCTTGCATGCGTAATTGCAGGTGCAAACAGAAACAAGCTCACTGCAGCTGGCATGACAGAAAACATAAATATTATAATGTATGTATATTTATTGCTTTGGCTCAGGTTGCTAGAATATTAGGTGTAACGACAGAGATGCAAAGGATGATGGGAGTGTCCTCAGGGTTGGAGTTACTGACTTTACCACATGGGCATCAGCTGAGACTTGACCTGCTGGAGAGGTACAAATAAATTTCTTTCCATGTGAAGAAAGTTAAATATAAGCAGTTTTGAAATGTTGTATAAGTATTTGAAACATTGCATAATGTTGAGTTGTTTTTTTTTTTACATCAGAACCTTATTTTTTTATTATTATTATTTTTTTTTTTATTTTCAGGTTCTACACCATGTCTATCATGATGGCCGTGGACCTCCTCGGCTGTACAGGAAGTACAGAGGAGAGAGCGGCCCTGCTGCATAAGACCATCCAGTTAGCAGCAGAACTGAAAAGTAACCTGGGAAACATGTTTGGTTTTGCGGCTGTGATGAGAGCCCTGGAGATGCCACAGGTCAGTCATCTATCACCATCACTAGCGAGGATACCAAGGAATTCCATTTTGGCGGAAAGTCCATCATAGTTTTGTTTGTTTTTTTGTTTTTTTTGTCTTCAGATTTCCCGCCTGGAGCAGACGTGGGTGACTTTACGCCAGAGACATACAGAGGGCGCTATACTGTATGAGAAGAAACTCAAGCCGTTCTTGAAAAACATGAACGACGGCAAAGGTGAGCTGCTAGCTGGTAGCTGTTTGGTTGGAGGATGTTTACTTTCTCAGATGAACTCCAACCCTTGTCCTTTTTCCTCCAGAGTCCAGTGTCATGTCCAGCACCTCCTTCCCCCACGTCCTCCCAGTCCTCTCTCTACTGGAGCGAGGCGCTGCCGTCGGGGAGGTGCTCGAACCCTGGGAAAGCTCCGAGGCCGGCGTGGACGTGGTCATGCACCACCTAGAGGCCGCACGTACCATTGCACATCACGGGGACATCTACAAAACGACCGCTGAGACCAAGCTGCAGGGTGAGACTTCCACATTAACCTCGGGAAGACTGATTGCAGCTCTGCGATGATCAGTGTCTGGTCAAAACTTAGAAACTGCCTTGTAGTTTTATGTGAATTAGATGCTTATTTTTTTGAACACTTTCTGTAAATAAGCTGGGTCACGGCACCACTGATCTGATGTATTGATCCCATGCATATGGTTGCTATGTTTGGTTCATTGATTCAAATAATGTGTTTTTGGGTCCGTGTTTGATGCCATTACTGCTTTATTGAACAGCCTGTCAATAGCTTTTAGCTAACACCTACAGTTTGTATTATAACCACCAATTGATCACCGTGACCCTTTTATCAGTGAGGGTGAATCCAATCATTAACCTGTTTAACTTCAAACCCTTGCTGTTTTTAGAAACATTTTTGTTTTGTAGGTGGCTATGACTTTTAGAGTTTATTATTATCTTTATTATTGTCAGTATTCATGTTGGTAAATGATGCTTACTGGCTACATTTCTGTGATCTGTATCTAACAAGTGGGAGACTACAAGCTTATAAGTTATTACTGTGACATTACACGCTTTAAATAAGCTTTTGTAAATTAGACTTTAAGTGAATTCAGTTAATTTAAATACTGTCAGTTGCATCTAAATACATCTACGAGTTCTTTCTGTCACATTTGGTTTAGATCATCAATTTTATATCAGACAGAATTAATGCAAATGGGCATAAAATACAATTTCAAAATGTTGATTTTGTTTATCAAGCTCGTTGAGCCTATAAATGACTCATTTACGAGGTCATAAAAGAGCAAAGAATAACATCTAAAGCACAGCAGGTCTCACTGGCATCAGTCAGTGTTCGTGATTCAACAACAAGAGAGAAACTGGGCAAAAATCGCTTCCATGTGTTTAAAGGGGAAAACCACAGCTGAGCAAAAAGAACCCAATGAGCCATCTCATATTTGTCAGACTACATCTCATTGATCCCTACAACCAAGAACATCTGACCACTAGTTCATGGCTTTAGGCTCCTGATGTTTTAGGTCATAACAGAACAATGATCCAAAACAAGTTTTTGAATTGCTCATGAAAGCAAAATGGAGATTTTGAAGCGGTTTTTGTCAAAGTCTAGACTTAATTGTGATGGAGATATTGTGATATGACCAGGCTGGCTTTGGGTGTTTTTTTATTTTTATTTTTTTCAATTTAATAAATGAAATCTCCATTGGAAAACTGCCTTTTGATTTTACTCTTGTTGTTACTCTTGGTGTTTAAACTAAAATATTTAGATGTCGCAAAAGAGCATAAAAAGAAGAAATCCTTAAGATAAGAGGAAGATTTATTACTCCGTCTGTCCTAATCAAACATGTTGTCTTTTTCAAATCTTTGCAATTTTACATATTAAATTAGGCCTTAAACAAATTAGATTTGAGATGTCCCCTCTGTATTTATAAAGATTATTAACCTATGGGAGCATCTCAACCATGCTCCCATCTCAACAATGAGATGTTAATGGTGTCCTTCCGCAGAGTGCTTTCACTAAAAAAGCTGCATCAATTCCCTTCTTTGTTCTCTCTATGGTTGTTCTTTCCCATCTTCTTTTGANGCNGNACTTTGATCATAGTACAAAACAATCAAGAGCCTCTTTCTGTTTAGCTTGCAATTAAATCTTCATCGAATACCCTTATCGCTTCTCCTTTTCAGGACTCCAGGAGCGAGCCGAGATACACGAGGTCTTCCAGACGGAGTTTCAGATGCGTCTGCTGTGGGGCAGCCGCGGGTCCGAGGGCAACCAGTCGGAGCGCTACGAGAAGTTCGACAAAGTCCTCACAGCTCTGTCGCACAAACTGGAGCCTCCCGTGCGCCACAGCGAGCTATAGCATCAGCCCCGAAACTCCAGATCGCCAAAACACTCTTGTTGCACTTACCACTCCCGGTGTGGTATGGTTTTATTTTGTGTCGGAAGTGGGGGATGATGATGATGATGTGAAAGAAGCAGAAATGAATGAGGAGGCAGCTAAAAGTGCACGAGGAGATTTCTTTACTTAGAACAAGTGTGGCACTCACTGTGGAAATGGAAAAAAAAAACAAAACAAAACAAAAAAAAAAACGCGTGTACCTCCCTGTGGACTAACCTGCTAAAATATTTAAGTCTGAGGGAAAAGCTGTTCGATGGGAACATGTGTACGGTGGGAACTGGGGGCCAGACGAAGCTGCGAAATTTGGCATCGCTCCAGTAAAAGTGAAACTTACGACTGCTGTCACAAACTTCGGCCGAGATAACCGTAACGTTTTGCATAGCTCTCGGGATGTTTAGTCTGCGTGAGTATGCGTGCGTCGATAAGCCTGCTCCTCCATTTTTGTTTCTGTTCTTTTATTTATTTGTTTTTTTTAATAATATCAAAACACTGTGGCCACTTCCACATGAAACTCATGAATCTCTCAGTGCTAATCACGAAGGAACCCTGCTAATAAGACCTCATTCAATATGGATCACGCAATCCCATCTAGTTCTATTAAAAATGTACCAGGCATGCATTAATAAATGCAGATTTAATGCAGCAACTTTAACATGAAACCTCAGTGTGGACAAAGTGACCTTTCGTCTCATCTGGCTGCTTAATATATTTGATATTGTGGATTGTGGATCATGTACTTTCAAAAAGTAGCCAAAAGCAGCATCGTGAAGAAGACTACCTGGGAATGTATTCATTTTAAATTTAATTAAAGCAATGTTTCACTTATTTGGGAGCATTTATGAACATGTTACAGTTTGCAAAGCTTGGCCAAAACAGTCGATGCACGCTGCTGTAAATGTTGCACCGAGTTTAATGTTGCTTTAATAACAATCTAAACACGCGTGTCAAATATACGAAGCGATGAAAGGACCCTGCGATGATGTACTGTTTATGAGACTCATAAGGCAGAGAAAGTACAAGTGTCCGTCTCAGCAAAATGACAAGTTCATTTTGTTTTTGTAATCCAGTTCGAAAAGTGACAGGGTTTGGATCTAAGTATGGCAAGGAAAAGTTTAGTGGAAGGAAAATGTATAAGGAAAAAGAAGACAAGATGCAGGGATAATTGCAGCCTTTTGGAGTTGGATGTAATCTGTGACTGGAGTGAGTCTGTTGCTTCAGATCATAGTTTCTCAATAGGCACACAATGACAGACAAAGTGTGTCTTGAGAAGGTTGCTGAACAAAACGATGTGGCCCCACAAACTGCAGCATTCATCTGTGTGAGATGTGGTGTTTTCTCCTAAGGGAAACTTTATACGCCGCCTTGATCTTGGTGATGCAATTTTCCTGCAGGTGTGCAGTCCGAATGCACTTAGTGCTTCAGATACATACGCCGTTATAATAGTCCATCCTATGTTGTTATGGTGGTTATCAGATTTTGCTGATTAACCTTTTTTTCAAACACTGGATTATGATACAATGTCACTTTTTGAGTTAAATTACAGAAATAAATTCATCTCAAGATAACACTGTATTTTACAGAGATGCAACTGGGTGTCATGTTTAATTTATGGTTAGCTTGAATGATGGCTGTATGTTTTTCAGTTTATGTTTCAACAATAGAGCTAAAATAATTGGAATGACACCTGTTTTACTTTAAAGTATTTTTGCCGTAAACTGGTCTGAGGAGGCTGTCGACGTCTCTCAGAGCTATGCAATCTTTTCAGCTGGGAGCTCTCAAGATATTTAAGGAATTTTAATTTTCAAATAGGCAATTGGAGATATCACTTCCGATATCAAATCAGCTTTTTCCCGAAAATGTTCCATCTACACCCCCACAGTTGTGTATTCGAACTTTTCTGTGGATGTTGGATCCAATGATCTGTTCTGGAGAGTTGGTGCCATGTGCCACTTCCAACAGGAGAGGGCGCACTTTAGTCAGCAAAAAATGTAAAAAAAAAAAAAAAAAAGGAATAAAGACATTAGACAGAGGCAGGCAGAAATTACACAGATCTTGCTTGTTTTGTGACCAAGAGGATACCTACTGGTTTAGGTTTCACTGACATGATGATGATGATGTGAAGTGCTTTTATTTGTATGAAGTAAGCAAAAAAAAAAAAAAAAAAAGTCAAGAAATGATTCAGGACTGATCTCATGTTCTTTTTTGTTTTTCTTTTTTGTACTGTACATAATACTTCACTTTTTTTCAAATAAAACAAATGCTTGTGTGGATGTGTTTGATTCTTTTAAGAAAAACAACAAAATGCAAACATCGATACAGTCAGTTATTTTAAACATTTCCTTCATATTCTAATCTGATGTCTGTTATTTTGCTGTCACAAATCTTGAAAACATTTTTGAGGTGGTCCATTGCTTTCTATGTCTTCGTTACTTAAGAACATGGTAAAGGTGTATCAAAAATCTGTCAGATAAATAAATGCATGCTTTGCATATATAAGCACTCATAATTTTAGAAACATCCGGTCTTCAATTTTGATATACTGGCCTATAATTGTAGCACCAATTATTTTATAAAAATCACTTATTGCATGACCTTTATGAGAGTTAAAACCTAATAAGGGATATTTCTTTTTACAGGTATACTTGAGATTAAAGACTAGAAACAGAAGACAAATATAATAGCTGCTCAGTTTATGAGCACAGTACCAAATAGTACCAATGCCATAATTTCTTCAAATGATGTGATCTTACAAATGATTTATAAAAAAAATAGTTGGGAATTGCTGGACTGTTTAACTCATATGGTTGTTTCATTTAACAAAATCATTTTTTAAACCGCATCTGAGATATTTATCTCTAAAGAAATAAAATCTATGGGCAGGTATAATGAAATTCAGAAGATACATCTGATTTAAATGGGTTTAAATTGTATTTTTTTATGATGAGGATGAACCATCAATGCAAACTACCAAAAACTTTATATTGCACTAGTATTCACTCATCTGTCTTCATGCATACTGTATTAATTGAGTGAAGCAGCCTACAGGCGTAGGCACTGGATTTTATACAGCTAAGGCAATGGATGTGGTCATTCAGTGTAATGTTGGGTGAGCTTTGTGTTTCTATCATTGGTTACTTCAACTCAGAAAATGCAATAAATATTCATTTCATTTTTGTACAATTGAAACATTTAGTCTTGGTGTAAAAATAATAAAAGTGAAAAGGAAATGAATAAAATCAACTATTTAAACAATTAAAAAGTGGTTGCCTCAGGATACAACAGAATGTTTTGTTAGAAAAAAAATATTTTCTTTCAAACTTTTTCTTCTGTATCAGAAAAGACAGTTTAAAAAAATTCACTTTTGCTATTTTATATTTTTTAATTTTGTCCTTATTCCATATATTTTTGTCATCCATCCCTACATATTTTCTAACACACACTTCTATATAACACTGGCGTGGGTTACAAGAAACAGAAAAAGTTCATGAAATTATTTTTTGCCCCGGTCTTGTGCAATGCACAATACAGGCCAGAAGATGGCGACATTCCCTTTTAAAAATGAACCTCACGGCTTTCACGTTACCAGCAATAGTCTTCGCTGACGTCTCCTCTCAGATGGATGTAGACTCACTATTTGCAGCTAATCAAACATTTAGCTTTGTAGTTGGTTTATGCACAAATGTGGACTTGACTTAATCCTCTGTCCATGTTTTAAAAAGTCAAAGTGCATGAAACAAATGCATCAAAGAAAGCAGTACTCTACAAAATGCATTGAGCGCATGTGTGTTCTGTGAAGCCTCACACATTGCTTTGCAGATAGAGCCATGGTCAACTCAGTGGGAGGGAGGATAGACAGATGGAGTGTGTGTGTGTGTGTGTATGTGTGTGTGTTGAGTGCACACAGATGAATGTGTGCCCCTGAGTACTCTTGTGCATTTGTGCAAATGTGTGCATTTGTTAACTTGAGTTCAGAGGTGTGTTATATCATGGTCATTGCAGAATTTCTGCTTAATTTCTTTACACCATCTGCTAGAGTGCAGAGCAAAACTGTTCATACCATTTAAATTTCTCACGTTTTATATAAGCTGTTTTCAGAATAAGCACAGCTGTGTTAAGTGGGTGTCACAGTTTTATTAGATAATGATCAGTCGGAATTGTGAAGATCAAGGAGCGGATAGGTCAGGGACAAGGTTGTGGAGAAGTTAAAACAGGGGTAACTTCTAAACCAATGTCCTATAATTTAAACATCTGACAGCGTACTCTGTAATTCATCCCAAATGAAAAGAGTATGGTTCAACTGCCGACTTGGCAAGGGGAGCAGAAATCAGAGACGCTGCCAAGAGATCCACAGCTCAGGCAGGGATATCTGTGGAAAACACAGATGATACTTACAACTTCCACAGATCTGACATCTATGGAACAGTGGCAAGAATATTGCCATGGTTTAGAGAGAAAGGCATGTCGGGGACACACCAAAAAAGAAGGTGCTTTTGTTTGATCAGACCAAAGCACAACTTTTTGGCCTGCATGCACAAAGCCATAGGTATAATTATGTTTTGCCTTTTCTGTGTCTTTGTATGATCGTCCTAAAGTCCTTGTTGGACTTTGACTGTTTGTCTTAGTCTAGGTCTCTTTTGTAATCTCTGAGGTTTCAATAAATTTTCATCAAAGGAAAAAAACCTAAAACCTTTACTCATTTTGAAAACACCATACCCAAAGTGAAACATAGCGGTGGGAGCATTATTCCACTGCCATAAGGGAAAGGAAAGTTGATCAGAGTTGATTGGAAGATGGATGAAGCTACAACAGGACAATAATACTGCAAAGAAATTTGTAAGGAGCTGCAAACTGGATTGGAGAGTCTCCTCTATTTGTAATAAAGAAATTTTAAAGGCATCATTTCCTTCATTTTACAAAGTATTGTAATAATTACTGCTACACTCTATCATGTAAAATCCCAATAATGGCTACAATATAGCAACATTTTCTTCAGTGTAGCTCATTGTAAAACAGCACTAAGGGATTTAACCAATATCAGAAGAAAGATGAAAAGAAGCTTCACCAACAATAGAGTATCAAGCATGATGGGACTCCTCAGACAATAAGATATTGTCCTTTTCTTTTGTCCCCCTGTTTTATACAGTTCCATAGGCGTAACATGTTATGGATGTAATCTCTAAGAGGATTCTCTCTGCTTGGTATCATGGTACATGTTAATTTCAGCTCTTTATTTTTCATATGGAAACAGACCAGAGATCTCCCGAGCATGCCAGCCAGTCATAATCAATTCACCCGTAATCCCCCCCCCCCTCAAACCTCCTTCTCTAGCTAATCTGCCATGTTGGTCATTGTCATCTGATCATGTGTGACCTTGGCTGCTCCTTAGCTGGTGCAGGCAGCGTAGCAGCAAACGTACATTACCAGGCTGTCAAGTTTTTTGTGGTTTTCAGATTTTACCAAAAGTGTTGTCCGATAATCCGATGAGATGAAAGGCGACAGCATCCTGGTTTCAGGTTAAGGTTGAACTGCTTCATGACATAAAACTGTTAAATAAAATTGGAACAGACTTTTGTCTCCTAATTTGGTTTAAGAATAACTTAGATGAAAGACAGTAAATAGAAATGTAAAGCGTCTTCCATTACAGCTGCGCAAGAACCTCAGAGCAGCTTAGCAAATGCGACATGACACGCAGCGATGGTGTGCTCTTTCAGGGGCAATTCACTCCACATCCATGAAACCTACAGCCATAAATATCCCGCGTCGTATCCCTTTGCTTTCATTTCAGCTCGGTTCAAGCAGAAACAAAAATAAAATGATTATGTCTTTATTATTTTCCAAAACTTTCGTTGCAGCCTCAGCTGTCGGTGGGTAGGCCTGCCCTCACCCTTCCCTCGCCCCCGCCAGGCCCAGCTCGATCTGTCTGCGCTTGCTCCTCATTAACACATGAATACAGACGAGGAAGGGGCCTGCTATGGCGTGGACGCCAACAGAAGGCAGCAGATTTGCAATTCAAACTGCTGACCATCAACACCCCCACCCGTCTCGACGCCCACTTCATCTCTGGGATAGTCGGAGGTTCAAACTGTCTGCAGGATGATTGATAATGTGCGTAAGAAGGGCAAGATGAACTGAGTGGGCAGATGCGGTTTCACTGTTTTACGTCATACTTCTGCTCACTTTACAAAATCAGAAGATTTTTTTCTTCATTGGAGCAACGGACTTAAGTTGTTGCAATTATTAATATTTATGTCATATTAAAGAAAAGAAAATGGACCCATTAAAAATTAGTCTACAAGAACCTCATATTGAGCTGTGACATTTGACTGTCAGATGAGACATGACAGGAATTAGAAAGCTCTACCAAGGTGGTAACTCAAAGCTGGAAAAAACAAACAACAAATAAAACATTTGTGTGTAAAATCTGGACTAGACATTAAAGCATCCAAATTTCCTAACCATGCAAATTACTTCCATAGTGGAACACAAGTTTCGACCCACTGCTGAAATAGTAACAAGTGATGATATATCAGCAATCCACTGTGGAGAATATCACATTTTATAATGCAACACCTACTGTTTACTCCACAAGCTTTAGCTTTTAATTTTGCCCCATTTGTCCTGACATACTCGGTGTGACTGAATCAGGTTTAGAGGCAGTTTTACTTAGACACACCTTTTATAGCTCTGTCCTGTCCATAAATGTTTTATGGGCTTGAAAATGGGACTTTCTGATAGCCATTTAGAAAGATTGACTTTGTTGTACTTAAGTCACTTTGCAATTTATTTAGCTGTGTGCTCAGTATTTCAAAGTAATGTTCTTTTTGTCATGATGAGATCTAATTTGTAAGATCATCAGTCCTCCTAAAGCATAACACATTCACACAACACGATGCTGCCGCCTATGTAATTTTCAGCAAGGATTATTGTTTAGCTTTATCTAAATCCAATAAAGACAAAAACAAGCAAACAAACAAACACAAAACGGAAGCTCCATCTACATTCTGAACA